GTTAGGTCTTACCCGCGTAACTGTTGTAGTAGAAGTTTTATATAGTCTCAGACCTCCACAACACTGCAAATAACTCAAATCCTGTAAATGTCACAATTGTTACACATATACACACAATCAGTGGTTATACATGACCCTGGTTGCTGGTTCAGGAGGAGAAGCAGTTTTGCATAGACATACTGTGGTGTTACTACACATCACCAATACCTTATGTAAAACAAATGTATGGCTTTCTATGCTTGGAACAAATATATCGTCACTGTATCGTTCATGGTTACTCAACAGACGGCAAATTGAATATATTCAATCAAGAAGCCTCAGAAGAAATCGAGCAACAGTGTAAAACGCCCTCTGTTATATAAGGGCAACTGAAGCAGCCTATAAAAGGCTGCTTCTTAACCTGAAATCTGTCACAGCAGAGGGCAGGCCTGCTCCTGCTCTCAGCTGCTTGACGAAGGGGAGGGAGGAGGAGGCTGCCTGCTAATCAGAGCACTCCCTCTGTTAACCACTTCGGCGACAACCCAGCTCCTTCACAAACAATCGCTGTCACAGCGGAGACAGTACTGATGGAATAACACAGCGAGCACCATATGCGTATCAAAGTCAGACAATGCGATGGCGTATGAGTCTATACTTGATCTGCACAGCCGTTTGCCAAATACTCCAAATGTAGTTCCGAGGAAAACACGGCTAGCCCTCGGAGCTGTCCCGAGGACAAAAAGCAAATCGCAACTAGTCCACCATATTTGTCAATCCTGTTTGTTCGCCGGTCATCTTGCAATCTTTATCCTCAGATTGCCGAGTACCTGGTTTAGGCTTTTCGTGAACTCCCTGTGCTATAATTATCGTCATTTAAACACACACGCATACACACACACATACAGTGCTTCACAAAATGTCCACAATCCTCAAACTAACGCAATCTTTATGTATAGATTGCGGTGGGTGTTCGTTCCGTGGATCAGCCCCTACAAAACAAAATCTGGCAGGCAAAAAGTCCGGCTTCATGATCTGGAAAGTTCCCTTCTGTGCCTACGGCAATCTTTATGAACAGATTGCTTATGGTTATTTTACGAATTTTCCAGTTATATCTTTATTTGTATAATTACTCAATTCCGTCTCACACACGAAGAAACGGAGCATTTTGCTTCCGTCCACGTTCCTGTGTGAGCTCATACTACAAGTCTATGCTCAAATTATTTGCTAAGAACCAAGCTAACATACGGTGCCTGCTAGCCAGCTACCGCTAGGTAGCCTATTGTCTACGACTAATTTCATTTGAGGAATTTCAATTCAACTTCAAAATCAACTTACTATTGATAATATAGATCCTCAGCGTCTCGGGAATATTATAGTGTGCTTTTAAGGCACTTATAGATCCTATTTAAATAATTTTATGTCTTCAACCTTCATGGTTTTAATTTCAACTGAAAAACTTCTTGTGGGTGGGGCTGTGATAGCTAAATGCTAGCCTTTCCTTCAGGAACAAACTGGAGGCAAAAATAGTAATCAAATGTCCATTACTTGAAGAAAAAACATGAATTTGAGTTGTTCAAAGTCCTCGACGGCTCAGTCTTCGGGAAAGCAAATTCATACCTGAAAAACACACAGAAAGCGCACATTTAATTTCATTTGTTTACAAAATTCCCATCCATCATCAACATCAACGTCCTTGAATGTTTTGTTTTATACACTCAGCAGTAATTTCGCATTAAGAGCTGAACAATGCGTCGAAAATAAGCCCCTCTGTTTTTCTGACTTGACTTACCTTTGACCAAATCCAGGAATAAGCGCGTGTAGGAGGGATTTACCTTTTATACTACGTGACGTTTTTAACGTCACCGGAAACGTTTTTTTTACGTTTTCGTTGAAACAAAATGGAGGATAACGGTCGTTCTTTGCCAATCAAGGACAATATGGCGCATCTCACATTGTTGGAAATCTAATTTTGAATTACTCCTCGTAATCGCCATTAATGCGTTAAATTTTTGTATAATTCGAATCAGACAAAACTACATCAACATATTTTATCGACAAACCCCAGTTTTACTGATTCTTTGATATATAAATTTAGTAAACAATATTCCTTCAAAATGGCGACTAGTCTTTTTGTTTGTCACGTGCTATAATGTCACATGTTTGTGCTAACGGGAACGCCTCATTTTTAAAATAATCGTCTTTATTCAACTAATTGAAATGAAAATGGCAGGATTGAGTTTTGCATCAACTAAGATTGATTTATTACCGAAATGATTTAGATTTAGATTATATACTTGAGAAGCAACTTAACCTTTCACCTTTTACCTCTAACCCGGGTAGGATCTGAAAATGGCTACCTCCATGAAGTACATCGCGACGTTTTTATGTCGTGTGTCGCCTTTAATTTCGTATTCAGTTCGTCAGTATCAGGTATTATATTTCATTAAAACGATGTGACGTGCTGACTAACACATTACATGTATGGTCGAATATTAAGTGCGGGGAAAACGCTGGATGCTGCCTTGTTGTGTTGTACCGCTTTTGTTAGTGCTGTGGTTTCTCTACCACATAGACATTGGTCCTACGGATATCAGATATCTGTTTGTAAGTGAGGCATAATAATTAAATGAAAACACTAATTGATATGTTTTTCATCACGATGGTGGTTTAGCTGGTCTTTAGTTGGTGTGTGCTCCAGTATAGATCTATATCACGCTGCTCCTGCCTGGGGGTGGAGGGGTTTACAGCTTAGTGACACTTCATTTGATTGAACTGCGGTTGATATACAAGTTATTTAGAATTAGACTCTAAACAGTTTTTCAAAGTTCTCAGATGACTTTAGGCTACATTTATGAAAAGGACGTTTTGATGTTTTATGGTGTGATGAGGTCATTTCTTGTGCTTTCAGTCCCGTCTACAGAGGCTACCTGCAAGGACATGTCTTTCTTTGTCTCCATTTATACATCCCAGACACTCGTACTGCAAAGCAGCATCGCTTCAGGACGAGGCTGTTGCTCAGGCTACTGAGGCTTTAGCCCGCTACAAGGACAGGCCCTGGGATTACCTGGAGAGTGAAGGTAAGTGTCCGTAGGTACCTCGACAGACGTGTTGCCTTCTGTCCACATTTTGTGATCTCATTGCTTTTCCTTACCCTGACAGAGTATATTGAAAGGTATGGAAGCAGTCCAGTGTGGGCTGACTACAGGAGGAACCACAAAGGAGGCATCCCCCCTCAGAAGACTCGCAAGACTTGCATTGTAATATTTCAGTTGTTTGTTGTTGTTGTTTTTTAACCACAGATCACTTATGTTAAGATTGTCAAAATAATCAGGGCACTTCTGTCTCTAGAGAGGTGACAAGATATGTGGAAACCCCTGCCCAATTTGTCGTGATCCAAACATCATCATTCACCATCAGGTGGGTTACTATGTTGGTCTCACACACACCAACTAAGGACTTGGAGAATATTGAAGTTTTCTGTATTGAGCTTTTGGGCCAGATTAAATTTTTTTAAATAAATAATATTGTTCTTATGATGTGAAGTTTTTATCTTGGCGCGTATCAGCGACAGGCCAGTATCAGCTGTAGTTTTCTTATACATCACGTGGTTGGCAAAAATAAATTGCATGTCTGATTTGTCTGCAGATCAGTACTTTCATTTTTTTGACACTAATGAAAAGAACAAAGCAGAATGAGAACATCTTGTCAGCTACTTCTCTCAGTAATGAATGATCAGAGCGTCTTTATGACAGTTTGGTCATAACCCTGCACAGCAGCAGCCTGCTGGAGGTCATTTTGTAGGGCAGTGGTCCTCCTCATACAAAGGAGTAGATACTGGCCCTGTGGCTGCGCTGTTACTCTGCTATGGTCCTCTCCAGCTCTTCATGTGTAAAAAGTCTATCATTTGTTGGTAAGCTGCAATTTATTTTTCTTGCAGAATGTCAAGTTGTTGCAGCAATTCATTAGTCCCCACACTGGAATGGTGTTGGATTCCACTCGAACTGGTAAGTTCTAATACCACCAATGTTAGGAAGTGTATTAATGCAGCAGGATGTTCCACTCATGTTCTGATGGTTCTGCCGCCTTCAGGTGTGTGTATGAAACAGCAGAAGAAGCTAAATGAGGCAGTTGACACAGCACAAGATCACGGTAGGTGAATCGTGATAGCCTTAGCTGCCACTCATCTCCGCCAGAGCACTTTATAGTGCATTTATAGCACCTTTTAAAATAAGCACACCTTCTTGCACTAATCTTTTCTAGTGCAACAACTACCATCTTCTGTGCAACCCATTTAATTTGTCTAACGTCCAGCTTAGCTACATGCTAGGTAACTGGATCAGTCTTAAAGTATAGTTTCAGGCTACAAGTTAAGAACTATGACCTCAAATGTAGTTTTATTTGCTGTTAGAAATAAAATGAAATGACACGAGTGGTAAGTTGTGTCAAGAGTTGGGTGTTCGTCTTGTAATCGGAAGGTTGCCGGTTCGAGCCCCGGCTCAGACAGTCTCGGTCGTTGTGTCCTTGGGCAAGACACTTCACCCGTTGCCTACTGGTGGTGGCGCCAGTGTCTGTCAGTGCGCCCCAGGGTGGCTGTGGCTACAATGTAGCTGCCATCACCAGTGTGTGATTGTGTATAGTGCTTTACAAACACAGACCATTTAAGTTACAGCTACTGATGAGAGAACAAAGACATCATTTTAAAACAACACTCTTCTCTTCTAGGCTTGCTTCCTTTTCAGATTCCATATGTGGAATTTTCAGGGGAGGACTACTCCAATTCCCATGATGCTGTGGGCTCCACACCACCACCCTCATCCTTAACTTTAGGTGACAACTGGTATAAATGGTATGGGGAAATACTTCCTGATGAGAATGAAGTGGCTAAAGTCAAAAAGACATATAAAGCTTACTTAAAGTGAGCGAGGCGCTGATCATGCTGTTGCAAAAATGAGTTTGTTTTTAGCCCCTGTGATGTTTGTTCTGCAGGTGCACAAAGCTGTACAATAAACCACAATGAAAAATTGAATCACTTCCTGTTTTATTTAAGCAGATTATAATTCAAGACATTTTATCACCTACATATTTATAATTCAGTATCTGTGCAACTTCAACCCCATAAAGATGTTACAGTCCAGAGGAAGATCCATATTATGTGTGCTCACACACACTGGAGGGCTCAGCAGGTGTGTGCCCTGGCATCAGCTCTGATCAGGGATTGGCCTTGCTGACCACAGTCTCTCCCAAGGCTTCCAGCACCTCCCGCTTGTAGTCATCAAAGTCTCCATCAATCTGGTTGATGGTACAGTCCTCCACCACCCACAGCTGGCACTGTGTCTCTGTGATGAGCCGTGCATCGTGACTCACGATAATCACAGCTGGACGAGAAAGTCAAGATGTTAATGCTCCGATACACACTGGAGTCTAAAGATTTATTGATAAAACCAAAGCTCACTCATTCTTTTGAGTACAAATATTATATTTTAACAGCGCGTCTACATGCACCCCTAGCTGCCTACTCCACGATGCTGCAGAAGTCCCTACTTTTTCATTTACGACTTTGGTGCTGGTGAAGAAACAGTTGCAATTATTCTGAACGTCCACACGGTGACAGTGTGGGAACATAACTGTGAGTGTGATAACTTCAAATTGATATGGGTGCGTCTGCTAGGAGGCGGTCCTAATAAAGGCAGGCACAGCCATATCATTTCGAAAGGTTCTGCCCAAGCCAGGAGTAAACAGAGGGATGGAGTCATTTAAAAGTATTTAAAATAAAAATATTTCCCAAATAAATAAATTTCTTAATTGTTCCACAGTAGTGCTTTCCATCTAGCACATTACTTCAAGCATTTGAAATAGATGTGTGAATTATGTGAGCACTTAAGCAGAATAGTCATCCCTACTGAACTGACCAAGCAGCCAGTCTCACCTCCTTTGTATTCATTGATGGCCTCTGATAAAGCATCGATTGACTCAATGTCCAAATTGTTGGTAGGTTCGTCCTGTGAGACGAGAAGCGATTAATCAACAAGACAGTAGAAAGTGTTCATCACGAGGAAGAGCAAAAGACCGAACAATGCTTACCAAGATCAGTACGTCAGGCTGACGACAGGCCAGTTCAGCAAACACTACTCTGGCTTTCTGACCACCTGATGAAGACAAAATCCAGACGCTATTAGAAAATATTTCCTTCACAAGATAGTACAATAAACATTCTCGTTCACCAGTTCGTGTTTATACCAGAGAGTTTGGAGATCTGAATGGTGTGGGCGTGGCTCTCGAGGCCAAAACGTCCCAGGCACTTCCTGCCATCCTGGTAGGGAAGATTGAAGTTCCTCATCAAGTACTCTGTGGCTGTTTCCTCCATGTTAAGCTGATCTGCATACTGCTGGTTAAAGAAGCCCACTTTCTGCACACAGAAAAAACCTACATGTTAGCTGGTGAAAACAGTATTTCAGATTTCCACATCGGCTGTAGCTTCAGTGTTTCCTAGTAAAACAGAAGGCAAGTTTTGTGGTCTACAAACTGAGAGCAGCAAAGTTAACCTTGGTTTCATCTGTGCGAACAGTTTTTCTCAACTTTCCAGCCTCTTTCATGTTTTCCAGCCTCATTAGTCTGATTGTCTGGTGTCTCACAGATGGCACTGTACCACAAAGCTGATCTGAATTCCAGTGAAAAGCTACTAAAAGCACTATCGTGCAAAAGTCTTCAGCCACACCTCCTTTTTTGTCTTTTTGAAAAGCTTTTTTTTTTTTATGTTGGCTGCTTTTTCACACTCTGTGCAGAAATGGAGGAAATCTGACAAATGGAGGATAAAACAAGACCCTCATTAGAAAATGTAGCTGTCACAAAGCCATTCGTAAGGATGAGTTCTCAACCACAGAGGAAGACCAAGGTATGACAAATCCCACCAAAACTGAACTGAAAATCAGTGGGAGCTGATCTTATATAGTGATGAATCCAATTTTCGATTCAAATCATCATCGACACAGATGGACGGAGTCAGCAGAGAGGTAAATAGTGAATGTCTAGAGTCATTTGTAAAACATGGTGGCGGCTCGGTCATAATTTCAACCTGTGTCAAAACCTACAGAACACATAAGTGGGTTGACCATCGATATGTAAAACCAGAAAGGGTCTAATTGGCCACTGCTTCAGTTTTTAGCACGACAATGATCCCAAATATAATATGTCAGTGCAGTGAAGCGAAGCCAGACAGTGGAACATTATCAGTTAAACCATGTGGGATCACCTTCACAGCGAATAGAACAAAAGACAGCCAACACCCAAAGACACTTGTAGAAGAAAGATCTCAATAAACTGTTTGTACATCGACTTTTAAATATTAGGCTAAAAGCCCTGCAATATTAGAGAGAAACCCCTCTGTAAGCATCAATACAGGGAGGGAAAAACTCCAGGACCAGGCTCAGGGAGGGGCAGCCATCTGCTGTGCCTGTGTGCGGGTCAGGAAGACAGCAGAGTAAGACGGCTAACAGCCAGAGTACGGGAGAGATCGTCCAGTTACATCTGAGCTGCTGAAAGTGGGGAACTATGCATCAAAATGGTTGCAACTGTTAAAAGTAAAACCCTTAAAGCATCAGTAGGAAGTTACTCACCAGCCGATGATTCTTCCTCATCTCACCTTTAGTCTGAAAAGTGAAACATCCTGTTAAGTCAGCAGATTGTAAGTTTTTGTAAATTTGAATATTACAGCTTTACGTCTCCAGCCTTACAGGATTTAATTTGCCAGTAAGCAGTAACAGCAGGGTACTCTTTCCAACACCGTTGGGTCCAACTATACAAACTACAGCAGGAAGAGAGGAATAAAACGTGATACATTACAGCATCTCATTCACAACAACACAGTGAGCAGCGCCTCCACATTTAGTTTAGAAGATGCTGGGTACCAGGTGGTGATGTAATCCTTCCTGTATAGAAATGTGTCTCGCAAGCCTACAAGCAATAACATGGAATAAAATCTGGATAAAACAGAAAGACGCAAGACAAAATCTCAACGTCTTCGATGTCAAAGTCGTTACCCTGGAAGGAGTTTTTCAAAAGCTTTGTTTCCAGTTACCTAAAATGACATTTACGTGTAGATGAGAGGCTAAAAAGTACCCGATTACTTACTGAAAGTGTTCTTATGAAGCCGAATACTTACTCCTCGATTCCATGTCAATACCAAAGTCCACATTTCTGAACAGCAGCTTCTGACCCTCATAGCCAAAGTCGACACCTGCAGGTGGCACAAATGTTTTCATCAACAAGATGAAATGACTGTTACATTATTAAACAAGCCACAGGAAATCTTCTACATTATGGCTTTTCTGTCCTAAAGATGGCATCATTTAAAGTATTTACTGAACACACACAGACTCCACTTGTTAACTGCTTTATGTTGATATTTATACACTGTTAGGACCCACGGACAGAACCAGGATCACAGGAGGTGACCTGTCACAGGAAAGAGTAACACAGTGTTTCCATCCACTCACTACACTGGAGAAGTAAGTAGATGAAGTGTATTGTTTAGGTTTGAATTAAAAAATGAAAGAAGCACATGCTCAGTAGGGGAGGAGGGGGGGAGATGTGAATATGAATGAAGTGTGCCAGCAGGGCTGGGCAATATATCGAGTTTTTAAATATATCGATATATTTTTATACGAGATATAAGTTGTGACTAGGGTTGCAAAATTCCCGGAATTTTCAAAGATGGAATCTTTCCATGGGAATTAACGGGAATTAACGGGAATTTATGGGAATAAACGGGAATAAACGGGAATTAACGGGAATTTATGGGAATAAAGTGGGAATTTTCAAAATTGAAGGTTGGCTCTTCTTAGGGAACTTAAATATAGTTGAGGAAAGTATATTTTAGCATAATATTGACAAAAACAAACAAATGCAATTCAAATACACTTGAATATCCATGCCATTCCTTAATCACATGTACAGAGCACAAGCTTGCTGCATGGCTATTGAGACCACCTACTGGCACTGTGCATGCCTCCATCACATGTACACATGGACCACACTTTTGAGCCTG